ACACACACACACACACACACACACACACACACACACACACACACACACACAGAGAACCATTTTAGATGGCTGGGAGAGAAGTTAATTCCTGTGCAAAATGGATGCCTTGGAGCATGAGGGTTCAACTCTCTGGAGAAACCTTTTCAAGAAAGACTGCCATGATTAGAGATATGTTTTAGGAAGATGGCTGTGCCAGTGGATCACATTGCTGAGAGGACCTGGTTGCCAAAGCAACTTAACAGTCCTGGAAATACCAAGATGAGTCAGCTTCAGGCTCTTGAAGTAGGAGGCTCCGGCCACCTTCCCTGATCACTCCTCTTTCTAGTCCTACTGCCTTTTCCCTACCTCTCTCCCTCCCTCCAACCACACCTGCATTCAAGTGCTGTAGCAGAGCCTTCCTGCTGATAAGTCACCAACACAGGCAAAAGCAGCTGGTTCAAAGGTAAAAAACACAGGGGTCTCTGTCTCAGGTTGGGAGTAGAAGACTGGCACTAGTTAATTCAAAACCCTTCTGAAGAACTCTGGCAAACTCCTATTATCCTTCCTGAGAAGGCTTCAGCACCCCCTCATCTGGGAAGCTTTCTGTAACTGATTCCACCTCTCTGGTTACCAGGCAGAAGAAAGCTTTTCCCCCTGTTCATCCCCAGAGCCCCTTGTCCAGGCACCTGCTAGAGCGCCTACCCCATTATTACGGCTGTTTCCACAACTGTCCTCTGTCAGTGTGAGAGACTCTCAGGGTCAGTGATGGTTTGCCTGATCTGTCTTAGGATTCCTTGAGGCCCACAGTCTCAGAGATGTCAACTGGCTTGTCCAGGGTCACCTGACAGGGCTGAGATTTAAATCCAGGTCTGACTTCAAAGCTTGTGTTCTTTTTCACTATGCTACGGGGTCTCCCAAAGATGAAGTGACGTTAAGCAGTCTGTGCTAAGCTGAAGGAAGTATCAGAGTAGACTAGATGACCAAGAAAGGCTTCCTAAGAGAGGGAGGCCTTGAAAAGTCTGAGGATTCAGATAAGAAAAGAGGGAACATGACAGCACTTTAGGCAGGATGGGAATGTTGTAGATAGAGACAGAATTAAGAGGCCTTAAAGTAGGAGGAAAGGTCCCATACTGGGGAGGAATGGCATTAGAACTGCCAGAACGAGTTGGATTTCTTTATACATGTCACAATGATAACTACTTATAGTAGAGTACCTACCATGTACCTGCCAGGGGCTTTTGCAAAAATTACCATCAATCCTCATGCTATCCTTGTGAAATGGGTGTTATTTTAGATGTACGAAAACTGAGGCTTAGAGAATTAAGGCAACATGTCCAGGGCAACACAGCTAATAGGTGAGGGAGCTGGGATTCAAACCCAGGTTGGTGTGATTCTGAAGCCTGAGGTTCCCTTTCTATTACGCCTAATGGACCAGAGGGCTTTCCAAATTATCAGCCTGATGCCTCTGCCTGAACCTCCTCCCAACTCAAATGGGGACTTCTAGTCAGACAACAAGCAAGAGCAGCTGACTCTTCCAGCTCTAACCCTCTAAGATCTAGGGACCCTAAATCCCTGAGGACTGAGTGATTGTAAGGAAATTATTCTGTGTGGGCCCTATGAGCACAGGCTGGCCTCTGTATTTAGACCTGCTTTGGATCTCGCAGAGAGAATCTCCCTTTGGTTACTGCAGCAAAGCTGGTAGCAAGCACAGCCTAAGAAAGCTGGTTGGGGCCGGGTGCAGTGGCTCATGCCTGTTATCCCAGAACTTTGGGAGGCTGAGGCTGGAGGACCACCTGAGGTTAGGAGTTCGAGATCAGCCTGACCAACATGGAAAAACCCTGCCTCTACTAAAAAGTACAAAATTAGCCAGGAATGGTAGCACATGCCTATAATCCCAGCTACTAGGAAGGCTGAGGCAGGAGATCACTTGAACCCGGGAGGCGGAGGTTTCAGTGAGCTGAGATTGTGCCATTGCACTCTAGCCTAGGCAACAAGAGTATAACTCCATATAAGAAAAAAAAAAAAAAAAAAAAAAAAAGAAAGCTGGATAGGCAGGAAGGTAGGCTCCCTTGCCTTCCCTGAAACCCTTTGGAGAGGGTCAGTTGAGGTCAAAAGGCTTTGAAAATATTACTGGCAACAGTCCCTAGAATGATAGACCAGGATCCTGCCTCTCGGTTGGCTGGTCACACACACAGGCAGACCAAGGGAGGTCAAGGGGGAAGAGAGGTCAGAAGTTGGCAGCCTGCAGGCCCTGAGTGACGGCAACTTGTTCAGGGTTGGGAGGGAGAAATAGTGGGTTAATGGTTTTGGCCCTTGAGGCTGGGAGGCTAGGGCAGGGGGTGTAAATAGATGCTGGCTAAAAAGGCAGGTGGGAGAAATGTAAAGGTGGGGGCTAAGGGCATCTGTTCCAAGTTAACAGGCAGGAACCATGCCCCTGCAACAGCTCAAAGGGACAGCCTTGGCCTGAGGGGTGAGGATGGAGCGAGTTTCATAAAAGGCCCTCGTCTTTTCATTTCAAAGGTGTTCGATCTAGAAGGCTAGGAAGAGGGGCTCCTTATAAAGTGAATTCTGTGTCTGGGGGCCGGGAGGAAGGAAGCAGAGAATGCAAACTACTGGACAATAGCTGGGAGTATTGATTGATTTTAAGGCATGGCAGAGAGAAAGTCCTTGGTGAACACTCCCATTCTTAGCTACAAATGTCTTGTCACAGAGCTTCCCAATGGACAAAAGAAGCAGCATTCTGCTTGGGGACATTTTCTAAGTCTCTGCTTCTGAGAGCAGCAAGTTCTCCCTCCAAAAGCATCAGTCATCCCAAGCACTGCTGCCACATCCACAGACAGTCCTGCCCTTCAGTGGCTGTGCCCCAGACCAAAGCATATTCTGGCTGCTCTGGGGCAGACTTGGGGGTACAGGCCAGGCCTGGGTTTTAAGCTAGTGTGGCTGACAGTAAGTGGCAAGATTAGGTGTTTGTTTCTAAGAAGTCCCCAGAAGCCAATCAGAAGATGATCTGGGGATGCTGGGCCTGTGAAGGCAAAGGCTCTGGGACTGAAAGAACTTTCTTTAAAGACTGGTTTTGAAAAAGTGATTAGGTAGCAAAAGACAGTTGGCATAAGTTACAGAGAAGAACACAGCTCATTAAAAAGATGTTTCAACCACAGCCAGGCACGGTGGCTCACGCCTGTAATCCTAGCACTGTGGGAGGTTGAGAAGGGCAGATCACCTGAGGTGGGGAGTTTGAGACCAGCCTGACTAAAAATACAAAAGTAGCTGGGTACGGTGGTGCATGCCTGTAATCCCAGCTACTAGGGAGCTGAGGCAGAATTGTGTGAACCCGGGAGGCCAAGGTTGTGGAGAGCTGAGGTGGCGCCATTGCACTCCAGCCTGGGTGACAAGAGCAAAATTCTGTCTCAAAAAAAAAAGTTTCAACCAGTCAGAGATGAAGTAAAATGGGCTTAACTACCTGGGGAAGAAGCAGGGGGGTTCCTTCTGTCTCTGACCAAATAAAAAAAAATGTCAGCTAGCTAGCTGTGGAGAGAGTTCTGCTGGCAGAGAGGCAGGCAATCATCAGAGTAGCCCAGAGACCTTTGAAGACCCTTCCACTTCTCAGGTTCTATGAAGAATGATCCCAACAAAGAAGGCCCTGGGATCTAGCCCCAAGAGAGGATCCCTGGCCCCCAAAAAGCAGCAGAAGGGGCATGAACAGGTAGTCATGTGCCATGAAGTACATGTGTCACTCAGGGGCTTGTGCCCCACACATCCTGGCAAGATGCTTCCCACCCGATCCCAAGGAGAGGCTGGAGTGGGACATGGGGAAGTGGGAGAGAAAGTGACTTGGATGTGTCTGGCAGGTAACACTACCAGACCTGGACAGGACTTGCCCAGCCTGAGTCTGGGGATGCCACACATTGTCCTTCCAATTGACTGATGTTCTCCCAAGGGAGGGTATTCATTATGCAACAAATATTCATTGAGTGCTTACTAAGTGCCAAGTACATATAGTAGACGCTGGGGACACTTGAACAAGTCAGTCACAGTTTTTGCCTTTTAGAAGAATAAGTTAGGGAGAAGGCTATTGAACAATTTCAGGTTGTGACATGTGTTATGACAGAAAAGAATAGGGTGCCATGACCCAGAGTAATGGAAGGGGCCTGAGACTCAGTTGGGACCAAGGAGGATGTCTTTGCGACCTGGGTTAGCAGGGATTTAAAGAGCCTCTCCTTTGTTTCATTAGCTCTGCTTTGGAGTCACAGAGAAGAGAGAACACTTTTAGGGATGGAACAATCAAGAAAACTCTCACAGTATATGCAGACAGGCAGGATGGCATGGTGCATCACACACACAGGTAGGCAGAGAACACACAGCCACAGGAGGGCAAACCACCTGTGCGCATGCCACTCTCAGCAAGTACTCTCCAGCTGCTCTCGAGGCATTTCTAGCTCTGGGAGGATAATGGGGCTTTGGGGAAGTATGTTATTTCCAGAATAAAGAGGCTACCAAGTACTCTCTCCCCACTGCCAAACCCCACCCCACCCATCCTCCACCTCTGCTCTCACCTCCATCAAGCAGCTCCTTGACAGTGCGGTAGTCGTCAGCAAGGACAGCGTAGTGTAGGGCTGTGCAGCCCTTGAAGCTGGCACGGTTGTTCAGCCTGTTGTTGAAGTCATCCTCTCGGGTGACCAGGACTGGGGAGACAGTAACACAAACCCTTCCATTAGCAATGAGAGCACGAGCTACCAATCTAACCCGTTTTCTCTTGGCATTTTAATTCATTCATTCACGCATCTACCTACTCACTAAACATAAAATGGCACCTACTATGTTCCTGGCCATCTGTGCTGGGTAAGAAGAGGCAAAACAGAGGCTAGTTAGTTCCACAATGTTTACTGACATCTGTTATGTGTTAGGATTCATCCTGGGGACATGAAATAGATCAGATAAGGTCCCTGACCTAACTGAGGAGGGAGGCAGACAATAACCAGATGTTTATAGAACTGTTTGAGATAAATGTTCTGTTAGAGGTATAAGAGGAGAATATACTAGAACGCCAGAGGAGAGTTTAGCTCAACCTGGGGATGAAGAGAGGATCCCAGAAGACAGGAGTCTTAAAGAATGAAGAGAAGTTATGCAGGTGAAGAAAGCAGGCTGGGGTAGGATAAGGGAAGAGTGGGGCAAGAGACAGAGGCTGTTTTAGCAGAAGATTAATATTATCTCTCTGCTCTGAAAATGTTTACATTCTGGTAAGAAATTAGTTTTAATTTTTAAAAATGTAAAAAAATAAAAGCAATTAAAATTTTAAAATCACAGAAAAGTTCAAAATAGAAAAGGGACCAAGATCTTAGTGACTGAGAAACTACATGTTAGATTTTGATATATGTTCTTCCAAGATTTCGTGCGTGTGTGTATGTGTGTGTGTATCCCCTACAAAACTGAAATTTACTGTATATGCAATTTTGTAAACTGCATTTTTACCCTTAATAATTACCTATAAGAAAAAACAAAAATAAAAAAAACAAAAAAAGACAATAAAAAATCACCTACAAACATTCAAAAACTTTTAAAAATACTTTTTAACTTTCTACCCAAATCAAAAGGAGACCTATAAACATTTTTTTGAAAGACAAATAAGCATTTCATGTGGTCAAAGAACCAAAATCCCCCAGGCTCACTCTAGTGCTAATATTTGTGATTCTCTTACTCTGATTTGATATAAAATAATCTAAAACTAGTCCATCACTTTTCCAAGACTCTCTGGGTTGGGTGACCCCATATACCCTGTTTACCCAGGGGGTCCTGGTTTGTATCTGTTGTTATAGACAGTTCTAGTTTGGACAATAAATTAGAATGTTACCCTACCTCTGGGGCCTTCCCTTGGGAAATGAGACCCCACAGAGCACTCTCTCCCCTGCTCAGGCAATGGAGCTTCTTTCTACCCCATGTGGAAGTTAACCAGGCAACTGGAAGTAGAAGCCTGGATGTCCTGGTCCCAGCCTTGGCTCTTATTCCATCCTGTTTACCAGTTTAGGTGAAGGTGCAAACACACTCTCTTGCATTCCCTCCTGAGCTGAGTTTGTAGGGGAGGAATTTGGGTCCTGACTACCTGTATTCCTCTTCTCCCCAAGTCTACAGCATAGGATCTACAGAGGACAGGCTCCTCTTACCTCTCACTGGATAAAGAGGTACACTCAGTCAAGAGATGACTTTACTTACGTAATCAAAAGCACCAGACAATTTCTGAACCATTCTTTTTCAAGTGGTCTTGGAATGGAGTCTATGCTTCTACCCCTCCTGCAATACTGAACATCCTATATAAAGTTCCAAAAGCCAGAAGAGTGTCAGCCTCTTACTAATACTAATATATTTCTTTTTTTTTTTTTTGAGATGGAGTCTTAATCTGACACCCAGGCTGGAGTACAGTGGCACAATCTGGCTCACAACAGGTTCAAGCGATTCTCTGCCTTAGCCTACTGAGTAGCTAGGCTTACAGGTACCTGTCACCACACCTGGGTAATTTTTCTATTTTTAGTAGAGATGGGGTTTCACCATGTTGACCAGGCTGGTCTTGAACTCCTGAGCTCAAGTGATCCGCCTGCTTTAGCCTCTCAAAGTGCTGGGATTACAAGTGTGAGCCACTGCGCCCAGCCATACGTTTACTGACCTACTGTATGCCTGACATGGTCACTTTATACAATTAATCTTATTTAATTCTCATAAGTACCTTACATAGTAGGTAATTATGATTCCCATTTTATAGACTAGGAAACTGAGGCTTAGAGGTCACATAGCTAATAAGTGGTTGTCCTTACACTTTCTCACATATCATAATGTCACCCTCATTTTCCAAATGAGGAAATCAGAGACCAAGAAAGAAGTATAACCCAGATGTCCTGGTCCCAGCCTTGACTCTTATTCCATCCTGTTTTCCTGTTTGGGTGAAGGTACAAACACACTCTGCAGAACTTGCCCTTAAAAAAATGGCCTGAGGTTTATAGCTGGCACTCACATAAGCTAGTGTGGGTGGAAGCATTTCAAATGTTTGGCCAAAATAAAGTTGGTGGAGTGTGCAGCTGGAGAACAGACAACAGTCTCTTGTGGTTTACAGAATCAATGGTCAATGAGCCTTCTACTCCTGATATGGGCTCTCCAGACTGATGACCCGCCTGCCCCTGCCCCAGCAATGTTATCTGACCTTTCCTGAAGCAGGAAGAACAGGAAGTTAAAAGGCCTCTAACATACAAGTCCCATGTGCAATGGCATCTACACTTTTTCCATCAGAGAGCCCTTTAGGACCTCAATCAGAGATTACTAGCCCTTAGTCACAGTCTTATCAAATCATGCTAGGTGATCTTATTTCCAGCCCACTGCAGATTAGGAGAAGGAAATAAGAAGGCCAGGGAGGATGCCATAGAACCAAGCAGATTGATTACAATCAAGCACTGGCCAGGCAGGCAGGGAAAAGAACAGGACAATGAAAAGCTGAAAAAGGAATTCAGAGTACAGCACCTCAAAAGCCCCTACGGGCATCACTGAACTGCCACATAGGACATTAACTGCTGGATATAATGATGAACCTGATGAAAAGTGATAGTTGGCTCAAGAAAAGCAAGAAAGGTGTAATCCTTTTTACGAAGAAAACATATCATTCATTCAACAAACAACATTTAATGAGCACCAATGCAGGGTGGTAGTTCCTGGAGATATAATAATAAATAAGACACAGTTCCTGACTTTCAGAAGCTAACAACCTAATGCAAGAATCAGACCACTGAGCAGACAAATGATAATATAATTTCACACATGCAATGACAGAGCTATACACAGGTTGCTTACCATAACCAGCAGATGAACTCAAGGAACACAGCTGGGGCTATTTTGGTGCAAACGTCAGGAGAGTGCCAGTGTCATAGCCCAGCTAATAAGGAATGTCCAGAGGAGGCACACTGTTCACCAGTCTCATCACTCATCATCGCCTTTCTAATGCTCTTTCTTGCCTCTGAGCTTTTGTAAATACTATTCCACTGCCTGGAACATTCCCCTCTCCCATGCCTTCAGTTGGCTAACTCCAATATACTGTTAGGCCTCTGATTAGAAGTCATTTTCTCCAGTGATTCCTCCTATGTTTGAGGTAGTTATTGCTCCTAAGAGCTGCCCTAGTACCTTACGCATCTCCCAATTCTAGTATTTATTACATTCTGTTGCAAGCACCTGCTTACTTGACTACGATTCCCGACTAGACAAAAAAAATTCAATGAGGACAGGAAGTGTGACTACCTTCTCCAGTGCCCAGCAGTGTATGGCCGTGAGTATGTGCTTGACAAATACTTGCTGAATCAACAAATAAATATGTCAAACATAAACGAGACCCTAATATTATCTTTGGTTTTGGAATAATAAAAATAAAAGTAATACCAGTCAACTGTATTTTGTGGGGGCAGTAGAGTATGACTGTTAAATAGCTGAACTCTGATGTCAGACCACTTATGTTTGAGTCTCAGTTCTGAACTTACTGACTGTGTAATCTTCAGTAATTTACCTAACCTCTCTGTGGCAGACTCCTTTATCTGTATGTGGAAATAATAACAGTAATACCTTCATGGGATGTTGTAAGGATTAAATGAGACACTATGAATAAAGGAGCTAGGTACAGTACCTAGCATATAGTACCTCTCAATAACAGTTATTGTCTCATCTTGGGCTTCCAAAAGTATATTTTCTCTGTGAAAAAAGGTTTCATCTGGGGAATCCTGCATATACTTTTCCTCTCAGAAAGGCACAGTGAGGCGGGCATGGTGGCTCACGCCTGTAATCCCAACACTTTGGGAGGCCGAGGCTGGTAGATCGCTTGAGCTTAGAAGTTTGGACAACATAGTGAACACTATCTCTACAAAAAATACAAAATTAGCTGGGCATGGTGGCACATGCCTGTAGTCCCAGCTACTGGGGAGGCTGAGGTGGTAGGATCACTTGAGCCAGGGAGGCAGAGGTTGCGGTGAGCAGAGATCATGCAACTGTACTCTAGCCTGGACAACAGAGCCAGACCCTGTCTTAAAAAAGAAAGAAAAAGAAGGAAGGAAGGAAGGGAGGGAGGGCACAGTGAGCATGAGAAAAGAGTTCTGAGTTAAGAGCTATCTGTTTCATTGGGTGTCACTCAGCAGTTTCTTGTTTGACAGCCAAACACTTGTTGAAATCCTGCAGTGGTCTCTAAGTAACAAAAGCTTTATTTACTGCTCACTTCTGCAGGGTAAGGAAACCCTAGCTTTGAGTTCGCCTCTGGCCTCTACTGGCCACTCCCAGGAGCCAGTGCCACCTAATGTCATGGAACGTCTAGCAGTGCCCTTGCCTTTAAAGATGTGAGCATGTTTCCATGAGAGGGAACCTCTATGACTAATAAGACAAATAAGAGAATAACCCATTATGTTTGTACAATGTTTTAAAGTGTAGGAAGCACTTCAAGGCAATCATTCCTTCATCCTCATGACAATCCATGTAGGGCAGAGAGGTCAAGTACTATCATCATTATTGAACAGATGAGGAAACACAGGCTTAAAGAGATTAGGTGGCCTGCTCAACTTGCAATGCTGGTCAGTGGTAGGCTTGGACTATACTCTAAGCCTGAGTAGCTGCAAGGCCTCTGCTCTAGCTTCTGTACTGTGCAGCTTCTGCCAAAGCCCACAGGCCCAAGCCT